TGATATTGATACTTCTCTTGAAAAATCCTATCTCAGTGCTTAGACTTATTAACTGCTTGCTACCAAATACTTTCCTAATCTTCAAACTTCTAGGTAAATCATTCATATTTTGATTAAAAAAAAAAAAAGTTCCTAAGCATGTAATGATGCCGCGTTAGGGATGTATTTATTTGTATTCGGATAAAAAAGCCATTATCTCTTATTTGATATATCTCATTGTTACCATAAGACCATGTTTCTCACAATGTGTATTATTGCTGTTTTTAACTCATTAAATTAATAGAGGTCTGTAATATGTTTTCATCTTTAGAATGCACCATGTATGTTTATTTAGCAAAATGAGATCATAAAATTGTGGATTCTGGCTAACTTGGTGTAATGCCTCTTGATATTGTAGTAAAAATGTTAGTCAGAATCTCACTCATACCAGGTTTGTAGCAGGGTGTTAAAAAGGGGGTCAGATTAACATCCATAAAAATCAGTGTTGTAGAAGAGATAAGAAGAGAGAGAGAGAGAGAGAGAGAGAGAGAGAGGGAGAAAAGCAAGAGATATTTAAATATGTCATTTTTTGTGGAAAAAAAAATGTAAAGCATTAAAAAGTTTCATATTTTAAGTGGGTCAGCAATAAAGAAATATAATTTCTTTTGCCATTTTCTTGTTGGTTCAACTGAGCTATATCTGTCTTATGCTTTTATGAATTTTTCATCAATTTTTATAAATAGCAGACAAAATATATTTTTGAAGTACACAATTATTTCTTGGCTCCTATACCATGATGTGTATGCTCATGAATTTAATAATGATAAATGGCAATGCTGCCTTTATCATGAGGCAATTTCTCTATTGTTGTTTACTTGGAAATGGTTCTATCAACCATAGAGCTTGATCACATCCACATATTTCGTTGTAGTAACTGTAGTAAAATTCTGCAGAGTCTATCCTTCTGTATAGTTTGTTAGCCTTCTAATTCATTTGCCCCGGATCATCTTGTGAAATAATGACAAATATAGCTCTTCTTACAAATTTTTCACATATTGGTTAGAAGCACATGCATTTTTTTCCTTACATAGTGTATTGGGAAGGAAGACAAAGGCCAGTGATGTTAGAGTAAATGGTTAGAAGTTTTACTTGAGTTGACTTTAATAGAAGAGTCAAAACCTAATTCTATTATGATTTGATGTTCAGTACCTTATTCTAGCTGGACTTCTGGCTTGAAATAGGGTTGAAATGTTAAATTTAGAGGCACATTTCTAAAGTAAATTAAAAAAAGGTTACAGTAATATGTTTCTTGGTTGCATAACCAGTAATCAGCCTTCTTGGTTGATCTTTTGATCTTGCCTTTTGATATTCCCTCACTATTTCTACATCCTAATTTGGGTTAGGGCTATTAGCTACATCAATGTTGGTAGTAGAACAGAATTTGAAACCCAAATTGCAATTGCAAGCAAGAAAAGCAAGATTTCCTGGTTGAATCAAGCTCAAACATGGAACATATTATGCAAGAGCTGTGAAATGTGCATGAGGATTGTGTGGAAGACTGAATAGTGGTGCTGCCAGTGAAGCTATTTGAAGTGTTAATGATGAAGAGGAAAGCATAGAGAAGAATTTGTTTCATAATCCTCTTATCTGTGACACCTCAAATGTGGTGGCTTGAAAGCGTAGTTGGTGCTTAATTAAGAAGTTTGCATTGAAGTTCATTTTTATGGGCTTAAATTTGTTATTGAAGGTGAGGTCAGTATTAATCAACTTTCCAACCTTAAGGATTTGTACAAGCATGTCCTTTGACTAGAAGAATATGTTTTTTTATGGTGTCAAGCAACCTCTACTAGGCCTAGGATATTCAGCTGCTGTTCATGGATAACCTACTTCAAATTCATCTTCTAAAGTAGAATAAAAAAGTAGAACTTGGGGAACATCTAAAGATGTTGGGACCAAGGAAGGGTGATAAAGGGAATGATGTCTCTTGTTTTGGTTCTACAAAGGATGTAGGGAACAGCTCTAACATGTTTTCCATTTGTTGTTTTAGGTGCAATGAACTTGGATATACTTCCTGTTAATGCCTCAATCATCAAGTTAATTCAGTGGAGGCTAAACCTGAAGTAGAAACCTGATGGAAACAATTTATTGTGAGCATTATGATGAGGAAGAGGAAGAGGAGGAGATTTACTTAATACTTATCCAAGGAGAAAATATTGTTGTTTGGTGGATTATTAATGCCCATGAAGTAGAAGAAGCGCATTCAAAAGTTGAAAGTGAGAAAACAAAAAATTTTTTTTATCCTGAAAGAAATTCTCGTTTTCTGATTTTCTATATTCTGAGTGATGAGTTGCAAAAATATTCCACCAATAAGAGATGTTTCCCTTGTAATTTGATCTTATTGTAATTGGAAGTCGAGACGAGGGGAAGGAAGTTCTTAGAACTTTGGATGGATTATTCGAATGGCTAGTCATGCTACTCGGTCTTACAAATCCAACTGACATTTTGGGTTTAAATGCATGTGGTGGACATTTCAGATGATCTTCTAATAAACTCCATAAAATTCAGTGTTGTGGATCTATTTGATTTTCATGGGTTTGGTGGAAATGTTGAAGCCTATGGAAATGTATTAGGTTGATAAGGTAGCAATCCGTGATGTGAAGGAAGTTTTCTTATGAAGAGGGAGTTGGCATTAAATTTTCTCAAGTGGTTAGGAAAGCCATCTACAGAAAATAGCACTCGGATTTCTGAGGAAGAAGAAGAATAGTTTTGGTGGATTGTTCTAGCCATTAAAAAAAAAAGAGGGTGACCCAAAGCATGAAGCATCCCATATATGTGGGCTCTGGAGAGGGTTGATGTATGCAACCTTTCCCTTACTTTTTGTGGAGAGTCTGTTTCCATGGATCAAACTCATGAGCCATGGATTGTTCTAGCCATTATGATCAATAAATCTAAGTTCTGTTATAAAGCCAATTTCTCTGCACTCTTCAGGAATTGATTTAGGGACATAAATATAGAAGTTTCTGTAAGTTGTTGTTGACATTATTGTTGCACAATATTCATGCTACTATAACACTTTTCAAATGATGGTTGCTAGTTTTTGTTAATCTAGTGACCATATTAGACTTTCTATTTTGAACAGCCAAACCTAGTTCTGTTGGGATTTGATTTTCCCATTATGATTCTATGTTCAAAACCTTAATCTGGTTGGATTTCAGGCTAATTTAGATTATTTGAGCGATAAAAAGTCAGTTATGAGCAGTAATTTTCCTGCTTGTCTTAACGGTAACATGGAAATCCAGCCTACTGATTGATCATTTGATCTCTTTGTTATCTCCTTTAATGTTCACTTTTATATTCTACAACCTAATTAGGGTTAGTTGCATTGCCAACACCAAAAAGACTATCTCAAGATTGTGATGAGCCCTAATAAATGCAAATGTTGTTTCATGAAGCTATATTATTTGTGTTAATTTTCAATTACACAATAAAATTGCATGGTGTTAAAATTCATCTTAACATCTAATTCAAAATATCAAAAGGTTAATGTGTTTTGTTCTTTTGATATTTCACAAATTTCTTATTGATGTAATTCCCCCCCCCCCCCCCCCCCCCCATTTCTTATATGATGTTAATTCCGCCCCCCCCCCCCCCCCCCCACCCCACTCCTCTTTTTGGAGTATTCTTCTCTCTAGATGTCATGTAGTCTACAATGTTTCTTGAATTGTTATATTTTTTGAAATTGTTCAGCTACAATCGATTGGGGCGGAATGCTGAAGAGGCAGATGCAGAAGAGATCATTGAATTGGCTAGTAAAGCTTCTGTAGTCGATCAACAAAAGCAAATCCAAGAGAACATCCATTTTCAAATTAAGAACTTTTGCTTATCTATGGATGAAATTCTTCTTCCTAATTTGAAGAAGGGAAATAATCCGGGTGAAGCACTTGCACAGTCAAATACTGCCCCTCGTCGAAGTGGCCTTAGTTTTGCTGTTGGAAAGAGTGGTCCAGCTACTGATTGTCTTGGTGAGTATACTTTCATAATCTACTTTTCCCAAGTTCTTTTTCTAAAAATCTTTTCCCACGTCTATTGATTAGCGGAAAATCGCATATGCCACCCGTTTACATGTTCGTTATATATAATTAATTTGATTTGTTCTACTATTGTGTTTGACATGCATGGTTATTGACATTTTGATGAAAAATGAATATTTTAATTTTGAGTATTGTTAAGGATTAGTTGTAAATAGAGTTCTATTAGGAGTTAGATTCCTAATTAGTTTATGATTTGTATTCCTAAATAGCTAGGTCACATAGGAATTCCTTATATATAGACCTATGTCCTAATTGTTATATGATTTGGTATTCTAAACTAGCTACATCACATAGCGATACCTTCACTTACTAATCATTAGACTCCTAATGTAATCATGATGACGATACAAAAGAAATACAAACTACAATATTAATACTCACTACAACCATGGTATCCCAAGCCTTCCATTCAAAAACAAAAAAAAAAACAAAAAAATAAGCCAAACTGCAAAATCCTCTCTGCACGAAGAGCAAGCCATACGGTCAAGGACATCTGGCAATTCGCGCAGCCTTGCGGGCACCAATGAAAATCCAGATGGAGGCAATCAGAAAAGACATAGAATTCGCACGCACAGCGCAGACACCACCCCGCCTCCGCGGTTGGCTTGCAAAACAGCGCAAGCAAAAGAGACACAGAGGCTGCTGCTGCACTTAGCCGAACGTTGGCCTTGAAGAGAGACCTGCAACCCAGTGGTTTGCATCGTCATTCTTTGGACTTATTCAATGGATTTTGTATTGACCCTGCTGATCGTGTTAACAGCAACCTGTTGTCGGGCAGGTCCTCTGGCTACATCACCGATTGTATGGAGCTGTTAAAATTTGCTGCGAAACATACTTTTTACTATTCCTTTGCTGTGACAATCTGGTCCTTATGGTATTTTTGTGATTTTTCCTAGATGAATTCCCTTGCCATAGGGAGTCCTGGTACTCCAGCACTTTGCTGGCTACTCCGGTACTCTCACCTGCTTTTAGAAACACTTCTCCTTTGCTCGAGAGCCCGCAACCCAGTGAGTTGCATTTGGTGTTCTTTGCGGACTTCAATGCGTGTAGCCTCCTCGTTTGCCAAGATTTTCCTTTGCCTTGCGTGCTTCTATATCTGCTGCGCTACTGGACTTCCCTCTTATGTACGAAGCATATGATTTTGTGCAAGCTTGAAACAGTCCTGTGAGTTGTATGTATCTGGTTCACTGAGATTTGTTTCGAACACCTAAGTCGTGTTGTCCTTGATTCTGCTACTACTATTTGGTTTTGGCTTCTTTATTCGCTACTGATGAAAGTGGGTACAGTTGCTGATTATGCGTTATAGTGCTATTTTGCTAGAAAGTATTGTTACGTTCACTAGTCATACAAGTTTGAGCATAATTAACACTCTAATCTCCAAACTTGCCAAGGGGGAGTGTTTAAGGATTAAGTTTAAATAGAGTTCTTATTAGGTCATAGATTCTAATTAGTTTATGATTCTGTAATAATCACTAAATGCCTCAGGTAGCATAAGGAATCTCCTTATATTATAGACCACTATGTAAAATCAAACGATTGATGAGATACAATGATAAGTGATCACAAAACTACAATATTACAATCTCTTCAACCAGTAAAAACACGGAACATCTTCTTTTCACCCTTCTTTTTTCTTTTCAATCATTATCACCACATCGTAGCCTAATAGCTAGGTAGCATAGGAATTCCTTATATATAGACCTATGTAATCGATTGATGAGATACAAGAAATACAACTACAATATTAATCTCTCAACAAGTATCAACATTCTTCTTTTTCCCCTTCTTTTCTTTTCATCATTATCACCATCATCAGCCTCATTTTATTTTATTTTATATTGGTTGCATTCTTAGAAAACAGGTCAGTTTAGTTTTGGCATGATTTATAGTAATTAAAGGCGCAAGGCACACTAAGGTGCAAAGGGCTGCTGGAGGCTAGATGCCTAGGTGCTAGCCTCTAGGTGAAGGCACGCGCCTGAGCAAGGTGAGGCACAATAATTAAAAAATAAAAAATAAAATACATAAATATGAAAATTTTGCTTTAAGAGAAAAGAAAAAAAAAAAAAGAAAAAAACTGGAAAAACATGCATAAATCGGAAAAAAAATGGTTGGCAACATGACAACTTATATTTTAAGATTATTAGAATCAAGATGGAAAATAGTGGAATCAAGAATATGAAAAAAAAGGAGAAAGCAAATATAAGAAGAGAAATTGAAAGAGGCATATCTGAATGACTGCTGGCCCAAAACTAAATTGCAGGAGGTGAGTACTAGATGGAGGGGCGGAGGCTAGATTACAAAGCATGTTACTGGTTTTTGTGTTGCATTCTATTTCTTTTATTTATTTTATGTAAAAAGATTACTAGCTGCATACATTAAAAGAAAATTGTAGGTAACTTGCTCAGGAAAAAAAAATATATATAAAGGCGAGCCTTCTTGAGCCTAAGGCGCAAAAAGGTGCAAAAGGCACATGCCTCTACCAAAGGCGATTACCTGAGTGAGGTCACCTGCCTGAGCATTGCTGATGTGCAAGCCCTTGAGTCTTAAGTAAGATGTGCCTGAGCTGAGGCACACCTTTAATAACGAAGGCATTATTATCCAATTTTAATATAAGGAATGAAGCTTAGTTTTGGCAAATATGAAGCCATGATGGACTCTCATTTTCAGATATAAGGAACAAACTGTTTCTTAACAAGGCTCTGAATTTTTATTGGAATTTATTGGGCTCTCCAACTTTACATATTTTATAAATCTCCAACTACTTTCCAACAATTGTCCAATTTAACGAAGTTGAAGGGTCCAATTAATTTAAATCAAATTTCAAAAAATAAATTAACAATATAATATGTTAAGTTTAAAGTCCAATTTTGCGATACAATTTATATAAGTTTTCAATTTTGGGGTATATTTAATCATAAAACTTAATTTTAGTTGTTTGTTTCCATAAAATATTTTCTAGATTTTCTAATATCTGTAATGCTTAAGAAAATTAGTTTACAGGAAATGTTTCCTAGTCAAAGAAAAAACTAAGACATTTTAAAGGAAAATGACTTTCATTTTCTAAGATGAAAATTATTTCAAACTTTGACAAACTTATTGTAAGAAAAAAAAAATATATAAACAAATACTTATTAGTCCACTGTTCATTGGCAGTCATCATTGTCAACAACTGCTAACCAACTCTAGTTGCTAGCGATTGTCCATCGATAATTGACAACTACTAGGAATGTGCAAACTGTCGGTTCGGGCAAAATTAAACTGATCCGGACCTATTAAGTTATGTAATTGTAACCATATTGAGCTGGATCGAGTTGGTTTGGCTCATTTTTCAGTTTCAACTCAGTTTTAGCTTTATTTTATTTTGGTTTTAGTTTTACACATTGAAAATCAAATTCAACCAGTAAAAATTTCGATTTTTTTTCTATTAAAATTGAAATCGAACCGAGTACCTTAAGAACCAAAAAAACCAAACTGGTTGGTACGATTTGGTTAGTTTAACCAATTTCTGGTCAGCCCTACCAACTACTATAATTTATGGTTTTTATGTATTGTTCTCATATTATATAAGAAATTTCTAAAATAAGCTTTTCAATTCTAAATATTTTATGTCTTATGAATTAAAAATGTTAATATTTTTAATTAATTTTTAGTATTGCAATGCAACCAAATAAACGGAGAATGAGTTATTCGAAAAATATTTTCCAAGAAAAATGTTTTCCTTGAAAAATAATTTTCAGAAGTTATTATCTGCAAAAATATGGAACCTTGAATATGGACTTTTCAACTTTAAAATATAACATAACAGATTGTTTAAAATAGGCAAAAGCATTTAGAAAGGTTCTAAGCCTGCCTACCAAGTTTATGTTTTGCCTAGTTATGGTCCAGGCTAGGTAGCAAGGCTTGTTTGCCCTTTGAGCCTGCCTTGAACAATATTGTCATGAATACATTTTATTTAGTTATTGTTCAATATTGATAGAGTCATTTTACTAATGGCTTTAAGAATTAATAGCAGTGGTAGCCAATTCAAACTAATTCAATCCGACTCAAACAGATTTTATGACAGTATTGATTTTTTTCTTTTTGTCAGTTCCTTTATTTAAAACTCTATAGCTGATCCTTCCTCCTAACATGTTGATGATGTGATTCTGAAAGTAGTTCAACTAAAAATTGCAAAATGGCCCCAAATAATTCATGCTTAACAGATTGTTCTATTCCAAATTTTACATATTTTTCGCAATTCTAATTTGAAAATTTTGTCTATTGAAACCTGATTCAAAATTTTGGTTGTAATTTTATCCTATTGGTCAAAATTTGAAAATATATGTATCTTATTGGTGTGCGAATAAAAAATTCTTTTCAATTTTCTCTCGTTTTCATTTTAATTGCTTGTTGGAATAGATAAATCTGTCACATTGTTATTCTGCCAACAACAGTAGAAATTTCCCAAAAAATTGAAAGAAATTCCTCCCCGAAAATTGAAAACAGAAACATAATCCTAATCCTGCATCATTATCATAGATAATCATTCTTTGAGCAATTCAATGTCACTGCGTTAGCAGCAATTGGTAATACTACTGCCGCATGATTGAGTAGGGTTCTGGAGTTGAAATAATAGTAGTTGGATCTCAAGGTGTTAGAAATTTCAATAGGTTTTGCATTATCATTTCTCAAGAGTGTTTTTGCAAATTACTGCAAGGTAAAACCTTCGGTTGCAGTTGTATGATCTTTGTGGTGTATTATTATAATTATTATTATTATTTTTTTTTTTTAGAAATTTCAATAGGTTTGGCATTACATCATTCTTCTCAAGACGTGTTTTTTTGCAATTACTGCAAGGTAAACCTTCGGTTGCAGTTGTATGATCTTTGTGGTGTAGTTATCTATATATTATTATTATATTTATTTTTCTTTTTAGGGGGGGGGGCCGGGGGGGGCCAGAGAGAGGGTGGGGGAGGGAGAAAGAAGAATCGGGATAAAAATAATGTTTCTTAATTCAGCTAAGAATAATTTGACGCAATGAAGGACACAGTTGCAACCCAATTTTTAAAAATTGAAGTTAGAGTAGCCGCAAAATTTTCTAAAAATTGAGACTGGGGGGCAGAGAGAGGGTGGGGAGGGAGAAAGAAAATTGAAAAAATATGTTTCTTATTCAGTTAAGAATAATTTTGACCAATGAAGCACATTTGCAACCCAATTTTAAAATTGAAGTTAAGTAGCCAAAATTTTCAAAATTGACTAACATTGCAAAAATATACAAAGTTCGGGTAGAATAGTCTATTGCCTATAACTTAATTAAAAAAAGAAAAAAAAACCGAGACCCCTCTAATTGTTTAGTTGTATGTTGAGCTCTGAACTCTGATTGCTCCACAATTAAGTAGTGAAGTGTTTTTTCTCCATATTGAGGACTGTTGATTGCAAAAGTAAAATTCATTGACAATGTCTTAAATCTGTTAAAAAGAAGTGCATTATTTTTCCAAAAATGAAAGTTTTTTTCTTTTTATCCATAAACTTCCCAAAGTTTATCTATTAGGTAGTGCAATTTATTTTATTTTATTTTTTTGAGGAGAAAGTAGTGTAATTTATTGAAAGTAATGCAATTCTAATAATTTGTACTGTTAGCAGCAAATTGCTCATGAATTTTACCTGTGCTATAATGAATTCCAAAAACAAAATAGAGATTTTGAGGATTTAATTTTTAGCAGTCAAAGGGGCTGTAGACAAAATGTGATAAGGTCAAGGGCTTTAAGAAGAGTTTTTCCTAAATTAATCATCAAACAACTAATAACTGTGTTGTTGCTTAATCCATTGCTGGAATATGAGGCTATGTGATTGTGGCTATAAGGCTTGTATTTGTATTGCATATAAAAACTGTACAAGCCATTGATTTTGACTGAACTTGTATGCTTCTGATAACCTCTGTTTTTCAGAACAGCTATACCTGAGACAAGGCCATTAAAGAGTGCTGAAGTCTCACGGAGATTGAAGGATCTAATTGGCTACACACTTGATCTAAAACCATCCAAGATACCACACAAGGAAGCAGGACAAGGATTATTTGTAGAAGGCGAAGCTGATGTTGGCACTGTGATTGCCTTGTACCCTGGTGTAATTTACTCTCCAGCTTATTATCGTTACATTCCTGGATACCCAAGAGTTGATTCCCATAACACATACTTGATCACAAGGTATGATGGTAATGTGATCAATGCCCAGCCTTGGGGTTTTGGGGGTGAAACCCGGGAAATGTGGAATGGGTCAATTGTGCCACAAATAAGGTCTGATAAGGAAAGTGGTGAGAAAGGTCTGGACCGGTTCTGGAAAATGATCAGTAAGCCTGTAGAAGGGACACAAGTTGGCGGTACTGGTGAGATCCTAGAGCGGAGAAATCCATTAGCTTTGGCTCATTTTGCCAATCATCCGGCGAAGGGAATGGCTCCAAATGTCATGATTTGTCCTTATGATTTCCCATTGACTGAGAAGGACCTGAGAGCCTACATACCAAATATAACACTTGGCAACTCCGAAGAAGTGAATATGAGAAGATTTGGCAGCTTTTGGTTCAGATCTAGGGGGAAAGATATTGGGTCTGATGTTCCTGTTCTGAAGACTCTTGTCCTGGTGGCTACTAGGGCACTTTGTGATGAAGAAGTGCTGTTGAACTATAGGTTAAGCAACACAAAGCGAAGGCCAGAGTGGTATTCTCCAGTGGATGAAGAGGAAGACCGAAGGAGATGGAGCTAGAGGATGAATGCCAAACATCAAAAGTTTTCTGTGCAGAACTTGGGTTCTTCATGGAGAATGTTCATGTCTTCAAGAATCTGCCTTGAACTGAGTTTACTCCATCGATATCTAGGTCTGACAGGTTGGTAGATTTCAGATTAGAAGCACAGGCTTGAATTATCTTATTAGGTTGAACTTGCCAAATTTTTTGAGGCATGATTCTGAATAAATTCGTTTTTTTGCTTGTCTCTTGTTGGTTCCCAAGTTTTTTAACAGCCAAATCAGAAGACTGAAACTTTCATTTTGTGTTATTCAGTTAATACTGACAGTAGACTTGTATCATCTGATGATGCCATGTGAATTGCTAGAAGCATGTAAAGTGTATGACTAATCCAATAATGAAAGTTTTATAAGGGGATTGGAGCAGGCTAATGCAAAACAAAAGATCTTTTCTCTAAAGAGATTCGATTCGGAATTATTATATGTCCAAGTTCCAATATTGGAATAATTTCAGAGGTTTTGCTGGTGCTATATAGAAACAGAAGCGTAGTACGTATTAATCCTATTCTTATGGATGTTAGGCCAATTCCTAGTAGCCAAAGCAGGCAGTCAGTTTTGACTGAATCTGTAGAAAATGGCAGTCCCACATTTTACAGGGAGTCAAAAACTAATTTGTTATGCATAATCTTTTTGAGAAAGATATTAATTACTTCCTTCACACTTCAATTAAAATTTGGGTAAGTTATCAATTATTCCCTATTACGATTAGTGTTAGATGATTCGTTGTTTTTCTTTTCCCCTCACTGCCAAGAGTTCTTGTTAAGTTTTTGTGTATCGTGTATTGATTCAATTAACTTTGTTATTTTAATTGGTTTTAATCCTCAAGCCTATAATAAGTTTACCCTGTTTTTATACATCAATATCAATCAATTCAAGACTCAATCTACATATGTCCTTGTCGATACCTACTTTTGGGTTTTATAAATAAAAAAAGCTATATGATCTTTACATTTAATAAATGCAAATCATTCTTTCTTTATAATTAAAAGTTGAGTCATTCAATTAAATGAAATTGTTTTGACTCAAGTTCTGAATTACTAGTTGATGAGGAATGGAAGTTCATCTAATATATAATAAGTACTCTCTCCGTCCTATTTTGTTTGCCGTCTTATTTTGTTTGCATGGTTTGACAAAACACATATATTAAGAATTTAGTCAACAAAAATTATTTTGTTATTTTTTACCCTTAACTCATTAAGATATTAATAAAAGTCATTCATTTGATGAATAATCATAAATGTTATTTTAAGAAAAATAATTATTTACATATCTAAATTTAGAAATCTTGCGAACATTTTGAGACATCTAAAAAAGAAATAACAAACAAACAAGATGAGAAAGAGGGAGTATAAGCAAAAGCAATAAATTAAGATAACTCAAAATTGATAAGAGTTTTAGACTATTTGTGAAATAACCCAAAAATTCAATTTCATAGACTTTTCATTTAAAAATTGATAAAAATTAAATCGTAAATTTTTAACTAATGGAATTTAATGAAAAATAATTTTCTATGCTAAGAATCGAACCCATAAACTAGTTTGAAATCTTCAAACTGGATGACAAACTTATGAATCAACTGAAAACCGAATGAAACCACTGATTTGGGCCAAACCCTATTCAAATCAAACCGAATTATCTAGGAAACCCTAGAACCTTCTTTCTCTTCTTTTCTCTTTCCTTTCTTTCTTCTTCTTTCCTCTGTTTCGTTCGAGCGGCAGTTAGCCACGCTCTTTCTCTCTCTCTCTCCTCCTCTCTTCGTTTTTCGACCACCTGAGACAGGTCCAACGGACCATCTTTGCAATGCCATCGCCTCCCAGCTTTTCTCTTTGTTTTTGTTTCTGGAGAACGTAGCAACGACGGCTTTGACTTTGGTTTTCGATCGTCGCTTAGCATCGACCCTCCTCTGGTCACCGCTTGATGTGGCGTTCTCTCCTCTCTCGCGACTCCGGTGAGAACTGCAATATAGGAAAGCTGCAGTCTCTTTTCTCTGATCAAACGTCGGCATTAACGACGACACTTGGCTCCTGTCGAGCCCGTTCCGGCTGGCTAGAGAATCCATCTCGCCTGATTAATGCTAAAAATGGACCTGAAGTTTGAGCAAGATGGTGTGAAGAGCGCTCGATTTCAAGCAGTCACCACTTCTCAGGCACCGTAGACGATGGTGGTGGCGGTCTGGCGATTAGCCAGTGAGTCTCCGGGCGAAACCCCTGAGAGGCAGAAGTTTGAGGATTACACACTGAACTTAAATCCGAAATCCGATTTTAATTCAATATTATTTAAGATTCAGTTTATTGAATTTAATGTAAATTTCAAATTTATAAATTATTGTTATTGGGTTGGATTAACTTTTGATTAAAGTAATTAAAGATTAATCATAAGATATGAACTTATTAAATTGGAGCAAATTATAATTGCTACCATAAAAATAAATTGAGCTAAGGATTATAAACCAAATAAGGAAGTTGATTGGATTACTGCGATATGACTATACTGTGTTTTGTTTGAGTGTGGGATTGGGATGAAATGGATTGTGATAAAACTACAAGGTGACCTCCTTTTGTTAATGGAAAAGAAAGAGAGAATGAAAAAACAATGTAAGGACTAGTCAAGTGATTCGGCTCATATTTGGGAGATGAGCTCCTCGGTTCGTAATGGAGGATGGACTCCTCGTGCCCCAATAAAGGGATGGGCTCCTTTATCGTGAAACATGATTAACGAATTTCTTGTGAATGAGAAAGTAATAATGCCATTGGGCAATCTCTGTTAGATGTGATTGTTTGAATGTAATATCATTGTGGTTGTTGATATGTGTCATGCGCTTGGTTGAATGAATGCTCACTATATAAAGTTGAAAAGCATATTGCGTGACTATTTGGGTTATGCATTATTTATTATTATTCACTGAGTTTGTGAAACTCAATGAAAAAAAACAATTAAGGACTAGTCATGATTGCGGCACTCATAATTTTGGGGGCGATGAGCTCCTCGTTCGATGAGAGGATGGACTACTGTCGAATCAAAGGGCTGGCCTCCATTATACTCGTGAAAAATGATATAAGCGAATTCTCCTGTGAATAGAAAAGTCAATAATTCGCCATTCTGGAAATCTCTGTAAGAATGTGATTTTTGAATGTTAATATCATCGTTGGTCGGTTTTGTTGAATTATTGGTTCATGCGCTTAGGTTTGCAATGAATGCTTCCACATAAATATAGCCCGTTGAATGAATGCTCACTATATAAAGTTGAAAAGCATATTGCGTGACTATTTGGGTTATGCATTATTTATTATTATTCACTGAGTTTGTGAAACTCACCCTTCTTTAAATTTTTCCTAGGAGATAGACACTATGCTAGTTCAAATAAACTCTACTTCTTTCTCCGCAAAGTTATAGTAGTAATTACTAGTTTTTGATAATATTTGAATATACAGTATTATGTATAAAAATGTGTCCACGTCTACTTACTGAGCTCTACAGCTAGGGAATCATGCATTAAAATTTATCATGTAAGAGTTATTAGTGTGTTATTCAATAAACATGTGGAATTTTCTAATTGACTCTCTCTAAAAGTACAATTGACCCAATTTGCTCATATTATGGACGACGTGGTTGGTTGAAACAACTCGGAATTTTATTTTCAAAAATTTTTCATTTAAAAATTTACAAAAATTTTTCATTTAAAAATTTAATTATTAATCCTAGCCAATGGCATTATAGAGCTTATTACATTTAAAAATTTAATAAATTAACACCCTATGGATTTATTAATCAGCTAAATGCAATTATACATTTTATATAGTTAAACCAAACCTAAAGAGTTAATTAAACCAATTGAAAAGCCAACAAACTAAAAGGAAACCCATGCAAAGACCCTGAATCAAACCAAACCATTTCCTAAAAACATAAAACAAACTCCCTAGAAGTTTCTTCTCCTATTAGTGCCGACCTTCACCCCTCCCCCTTTCCCTTTCGTTTTTCCGGTCACTTGAAGCCAGCGCCCTCCGCCACCTCCTCCCTGCTACCGTCGCCTCCTCACCACGAGTCTCCGGCCTCTCTTTCTCTCTCTCTCTCTCTCTCTTTCTCTCTCCTTTCGTTTCTGGAGAGCGCAGCAATCGCAGGAGACTTTATTAGGAAATTGTGTCGCAGCTTTCTCCTCCACTTTTTGGTGACTCCAGTCTCTCTCTCTCTCAACGATGAAACTCCGGTCTCTCTCTTTCGCTCTCTCCTTTCCCGTTCTGGCTGACGCAGCAAACTAGCGGAGCTACGATCGTGGCTCGCGATTGATACAGTGGCGTTAACTTCTTTCTTTCATTTTTTTTGGCGAGATCAGCCACAAGCCGGGAGACCAAGCCTTCTCTCGTCTCAAGTGGCCCTTGATCCTCCATTGCTTTCTTCTCGAGTTAAGCTATCGCCGGCAGCAGTGGGTTTTGATTTTGAAGTTCGTTTTCGGTCACTTTTAACGAGTATATTCAATTTTTCCGTCATATTTCTTGACTAGGTGAGACGTAATTCAATCCTTCTGAGTTTATTTCTCGAGTTCTGGATTTGAGATTAATGATTTCTAGTATTAATTAGAATGTTAAGGATTAACCCTTAAGTTAGCTATTGTTAGTATTGAAGAATGGGAACTTCGAATTTTACTCTTAAAAATTTGACCGTGAACTGCAATTTAACATACATATAAATCCATCAACCAATTTACTGTAGGTTTAGGTGGAAGAAGTTGAAATATTTGGAATGGCAGTAACCATTATAGTTTCTTTGCTTTCAACCCTTTTTATATGGATTATGTGATTGGAATTTTAATTGTGATGGAAAATGAGTTGAACTATATATATATTGCTGATGTAAAATTGAGTTGAACTATATATATCATATATATATATTATATAATATTAATATATATTATATATGCCAAGAGGAAAGTATATTTGTTTTTGGTGGGCAATTTGTTAATTATGGATTAATTGGTGCCATGTTATGTAAAACTAACATAGAAATTGGAATATAATTTTAATGCTTTTGTTGGTGAAGTTGTTGGTTATTATTCAACAACATTATTTTTGCACTTTAGATAAATGAGTTCGATTCATAGATCTTTTCCTAGCGTATACCTTAGAAAGTGGTATTTTTATATGGAAAATAGAGAAAAAATTTATGAAGCTATAGTGTGAATTATATTTAAGTTCAGAAGTGTATTTTTATATTTGGAAATAGGGAGAGAATTTATGGAAGTATAGTTGAATATATATTTAAGTTATGAATTGGGTTACTTTAGAAGAAGAGTTTATTAAATTTGTTAGTTTGATGGAAACATTAGTTCTTAGTGACTAACTCTAAGAATTTTAATAAA